TTGCATAACTGCATTTTTCATGCTACTTGTTATAGTAAAAATAAGTGTTCATCTCCTTGTTTGGCTGTCGTTGTGGTTCTCCTGCTGTGTGTCAAACTGTGACCCTTTCCAGGCAGGGCCCAAATGTGTAATTATGTGTAAAGCTTAGTACAATAAAGTCTCCTGTACTTGTAATAGTAGCTAGGGTTACTGATGGTTTAGGTGACAAGTACCTCCGTGGTGCTGATTCCAGAAAGGTAGTGGAAAGCTGATGCTTTCTATTGGGCACTTACTGAAACACAGCATCTGAATAGATGAGGACAGCCTGATTTTTCCAAGGCTTTTATAGCTCAAGCTTGAGTAATCCTAAATTTTATTTTCATTAGAATGGTTTTCACTAAACCAGTCTTGAAACAAGGTTTGTGATGGCATATCTCAAAGCAAACTACTCAATCTTTTAATCAAATGAAATGAGTAAGACTACTGGGAGTCCTATCAAGTCCTGTTACACTTAACTATGGAATCTCAGGTTCTGAGTAGTCTTACGCAAAAGGCCAAAAAACCCCCCACCTCATTGTAGAGGCTGGACAAAGAACATCTCATCTATTGCCATTATTTTGTGGATAACTGGCAGTTATTTGGCATCCTGTAGTTGACACTAGGAGGGTTACTGTTCTGCATTTGAAAATGCAGTGCTGTCTTCTAGGTGATAATGCAGATAGGAAGGTTAAACCTCATAAATAGGTTTGTTTTTCTAGAATTTGGTGATATGTTTCATGAGATCCTGAACCTTTAATATGGATGTGTTCTTATCCTTTGGCTTTCTGAGGAGAAAATCAGCTTTGTCTTGATGATGTGAGTGTTTATAATTGGAAGAAGAGAAGCTGAACTTATGCAGTTTACTGAATCTGTGAGGCAGTTGATTATTTGTATTCAAGGTTGTAGCAATGCTTTTTTCTGTGATTAATATTTCCCTCGTCTCTGGGGAGAATACAAAGTTCGATTGAAAGTGATGCCGTGTTTCTGTATACAAATATAATTTAAAACATCCTGGTGCTTAAGTACCAGATTTGTATCTTAGGGTGTGAAGCACTGTGTAAAACTCTGCTCTCTGAGAGCAGAAGCAACATAGTTCCTTGACACTAATTCTGGTAAGCAGAATCCTAAGCATGCACAGGGCATGTTTTGCCATAACATAAGCAATCCTGTTTTACAGCAGAGATAAGAAGATGATCCGAGGTTAAAGCTTGTGCAGTGTGAAAACTCAGTACTGTTGAAACATAAGGTAGCTTGGCTCTTGAGCTACTAAAAGTAAACTTGAGTTTTAAGTCCAAATGTGATCAGCTGTGGCAGTGACTGTGAGTTACCTTCTAATGTTAGATACGCTAAGTCAGCCAGTGAAACGTGTTAGCAGTCTGTCAGTTGTCTGTTTCCGGTATCCTTCCATGAAAAGAGGGGAAGTGAAGGTGGAGAGAGAGAAACTTTATCCCTGTCACCCAGCCTGACAAAGATCAGCATTAGGAAGAAATTTTAGGATTCCAGTCTCTGTGTAATTAATTAGGCACTATTGTTATCAGGCTCCTTCTTCAAACAAATGTAACTCTCATTAGAATCGTGTTAATTTGCTTATGAAGTTGTTGTTCCTCAAAACTTTATTAATAGCTAATTGCAATTCTTTGTTAAAAAGAGACATTTCCCTTAGAGCTTCGGTAGAATTTCATACAAAATGGAGAAAACAAATACGTGGTTGCCATGAATGCTTTTAATTCAACTTTTTGAAGCCCTTTCAAACAAACTTCTTGAATGAGCACACTGCTCCACAGTGCTGGAAACTTGAAAGTTTTTTTTTTTTCTTAATTATGAAAAGAACAATGTTAAAGCATCTGTTCCATTTTATGTGCCCCGTTAGGGTTATGAACAATCAAGTAAGTAGTTTAACAGCGTGCGTGGTAAAACCCTGGTGCTTCAAACACTCGCATGTTTACTTTAAGTGTATGCATGATTGATTTTTGTTAATGGTGCACAAAAATATTTACAAGCTGGGCGCCAGTCCTTTCTGGGTTTGATACAGTTCTGAGAGCTGCACATCTTAAGTTTCTGGTTAGAAGTGCTTGGCTCAGACATACAAGAGAGATCTATAGTAAGCAGTGCTTATCACAAAGCTCTCTGTGTGCCCAGAGAGCTTTTTGAAGAAATGTTTTGGTTTAAACCTTGAGTGTTTATAAAGCATACTGATGAAGGTTGCTTAGTCAAGGTAAAGGATGTTGGAAAATATTTATTAAACATTTGTTTTCCCTGTTTTCCCCTTTCACATCTTTTGTGTGACATTGAGCAAAATAAACAGACACTTTCCAAAAGAAAACACCCAAACTTGCACTTTTTTGTTTTTAGAAAGCAAGCTGTTTAATTTTTTTAAACTTTTTTCTTTGCTTTTGTTTATTTTTTGTTTTCTATTGCAGACCAAGGTCTCACTTGCCTAATTCCGTATTTGTGTTGGGAGCAAGTGTATGCCTTTAGTTTTTCAGTCTTTTTGAGATGATGGGAAAGCACAAGTGTAGAAAATGGGATGAAATGGCTTTTTTCTTTTTGGAGAATTGTTTTAGTGTGTTATGTCTTTTGTCATGTTAAGTAAGGCATCCAGAATATGTTCCTGTACAAATTGTGCATCATGCTTGTAACTTAAGTTTCTAGGAAGTTATTTATAATGCATTTTGGAGGGTAATCATTGAATTTCTTTAATGAAGCCTGTAGCTTGCGATTGCCTTGCACAGAAGAAAGACTCAGTTAACTTTCAAGGGATAACTTTGAGAATACATTTTTTTCTTTTTTTTGTAATTGATGTAGTTCATGGTTCAGGAAAAATCAATTTAGTTAAAAATATGCATTAAGGGGGAACATTAATTAGCTGTACCATATTTTGTAGCACGTGGAGCACTTCATTGTAAGGATTTCACTACACTAGGTTGTCCCTGGGACAGTTAAACGTCAGTGCTCTCCCATGGACTGTTACCAAACTCTTAAATGATGCATTAGCTGAACTAAAAGCATTTCCTCTAAGTTGTCCTCCTTTATGAAAGTAGTCTGTCTTTGCAACTGTTAATCAAAAATGTTAAGGGCGTCACTGTTTAGACAGCATGTGGTGATTCATAAGTAACAGTTGTGTATAGAGTCAAGTGACTAAAGAGCTACAGTTCCCTTAGCAAGGTTTGTTTAAAGTCTCTGTGGCTTGCACCAGGGTTGTCCTTGCACCTAGACAAATTGGGTAATATCATATAGCTTACTTGTTCTCCTTCTGCGTAGGTGAGATTGACAACAGGAAAATGTCATTCTGTGCTAAGATTTCTTTTTGGGGTGGGGAGGGCTTTAGCATTTAGGTACATCTATGTTAACCTTGCTGTTGTCAATGAATACGTCGTTTATCGTGTGTGTAGCTGTGATTGAAATTCTGCGTGTGTCCTGGTTGATCTTTTATTTGCACAATGTAAGTAATTCTGTTAGATCAGGGCTACTAGATTTGTTGGCCTTCCTTTAAGAAAAGGTACTGTTGATGGTCCTCCTAGAGCGAGACTTTATTAACAACGCTAATAAAGTATGACTTTATCTCAGCCTTTTTAACAGTTGGTTCATTTCTTGAGTTTGCATGATGGGGAGTGGTATGATAGTTGTTGAAGAGGAACTCCCGAAGATGACAGAACTAGCTTCACCACCTATTAGCATTAAAAAACTAGCATGTATGAGAAAGAAATCAATTCTCCTTTTGTTTGGCTAGGTTTTTCTATAATGCATGCAGTGTCTGTCACAGTCTAAGGAGGGAGTAGATTTTTTCAGGATACGCTTATATCCCCCTTATTCAGGGTTTCCCTAAAGGGAGGCGAATGATCTGTGGAGGCTGCTTGCGTTACACCAGCCTATAAGCAGTCATTATCCTGCAAACCCCGTGACACTGTTCTATGCAGATAATACATGGAAGGGTTCTTAGAAAAATACTTCCCACACTTACTATGCTAAGTAGATTTTTCTGGATTGAGTTGAGTGCTAGGATTGCTGTGACCCTTTTACTTTGTATCAGATTGAGGTAAGAATCCTTTTGAACTGCGTTCTGGCTTGAACAAAATTTGCCTTTCTACCTGAAGTGGTGTTTGATGCTGAAAATTCCCCATTTTCATGAGATATAGATCAATGTGTTGATATACAAAAATCAGTCGATGATTAGAAAAGACTTTATCTTAAAATGAAAGTTCCTTGACTTAAATCTACCTTATGCTCCTGCTTTTTATTTTTAATGATTCTTCTGCCACTACTTGGTACAGACATTTTCAGTAGAGGTTTGTACTTGATGCATGAGATGAGCATTCAGATATCTTATGGTTATGTAATTGAGAATACATTTCTGTGCAGGAAATCTTGGGGTCTAAGCTAACATATAACTGTCTAAGATGAATGAGGATTTTGACGTTTTTGTCCATGGTCTTATTTGGAACTGTACTCGCCCCCCACGAAGACCACACCTTATTCAGACGTGTCTATTGTAAACATCTTTGCTACACTTTTAACTTTAGTCTTTTGACTAATCTATATACAAAAAAAATTTTCATATCGCTTGTAACTCTGTTATCAGTTTCTCGAGAGCGTTCATCTGAATCTAGAAATTTGGGACAGCTCACTGATGATAATTTTGCATTCCTTGCAATATGAACTCTTGCTGTCTCTGACTTAAGGTTGTTCTCAACTCACAGTAGAACTTTCCTTTTTACTCTGTTGTGGAAAACAGTAGTAAGTTCTCTAGTGAGATGGACAGAAATATTTTGACTATTTTGAGAGTATGAAATGCCTCTTCTTCTTTTTGTGTTCAAAATAGTTTCTAGTCTGTTGGAATATTGAAGAGTGCTTGTCCTAGTACTGATTGCGTAGCTCAGAATAATTGTTTTTTTCATCACGCTTTCTCTTAGTGTTTCAGAGTTTTCTTCTACTTGATACTTCATAATACACAACTTCTTTTCTACTTTGAGGACTAAAGGCCAAATAAAAGAAGAATAAATTGGAAATAATTTGAGCTTGAATTGATAGGTGAAACTTGTGTATCTGTCTCTTATTAGCCCTAATTTTTAACAATAAGTTAGGTACTTTGAGTTCTATGGTAGCACATGCCTGGCAGTCTTAGCCTTTTGGCAGATCAATTGTAGCTGTCTCAAATCAGGGTTGAAGGTGGAGGACGTGAACATGATGATTTTTCTGTACTATTTGAAGTTGGAAAACTTTGAGGAGAGGCTTAGATTTTTATAACCTGCTCTGTCCTAAAGCACTTAAATTTGTTTCTCAGTTCCAGAAGGAGATCTTATTTCCTGGGGTATAATCTAGACAAGAATGTGGATGCTGTTGTGTGTCCTTTTGAAGTTGCATTGGTTTAAAAAGGTGGATGCTTCTCCTGGTCACACATGAAAAGAAACAATCCTTTAAGAATAGACAGAATTCAGGACAGAATCTGAAGCTGCAAACTGAAATCACGTATCAGTATCTCTTATAAGGTGGTTAAAGCTGTGCCCCAGTGTGGGGCAGAGAGGTCATTTTACATAGTCCTCCTTTTGGTTATTAGCCTGAAAAAATCCCATATGCAAGTTCTTGAATGTTGTGAATACCTTTCTTAGGCAGCTAGCTTGGGTTTGTAAATTCTGCTCCTGGCGTTTCTAAAAGTAAGTTTTATACTTACCAGTGTTTATGTGGATTTAGCCCTAAATCCTAAAGCCCTGGCAAACAGTTGATTTTTCAAATAACTTGTATTTTTTTGCAATCTAATAGCTTTCACTTAGCTGCCATTTTCTAAGTATGCAGTAGCTGTCAGTGACTCTGCTAAACTTTTTGTAGAACAGACGCCTTTGTATGCTGTGGTGATGATCTGAGTTCCTGATCCTCAAAGACTCGAGCGATGCGTATTTGTTGTGTGTGGATCTGCTCAGTGTGCATGGAGCTTATGTGGGACCAAAGCCCAAACAGAGAAGCTGCAGAATGTAATAAGAAAAGCAGATGCGAACAGACTGATCTGTGATAAGCACTGCATCTTAATGTTAAAATCATAAATCACTTCATCTTCCTTGCACGATAATACTAACTCTGCAAGTTTGTCCTTCTTCCAAAGCGTGGAAAAGGTCCTACTCCTACAACTGAGGATGTGAAGTTGAGTATGACAAAGTAAAAATCCAAGGTATGGATTTATGGATTTTAGTTTCTGCAGTTAGGAAATTGACCTCTTGGTTTCTTGATTGCAGCAGCAGTGAATTTGATGGACACTAAATATCTGCTGGATGTCATTAGGTTTTTCTTCATCATGGCTTTGTCTGAAAAAGTTTATTCTGCTCATGAGTCTCTCTTCTTGGCAAGGTTTTTTTCTGTTTCACACTTCAGGTCAGACTTTTAACTGAGGTGGCGAGTAGTGTGAGAGTACATTCATAGATAAGCAATACCATTAATACAAGATGTTTATTTCTCATTTCTCTACAAAAGATCTTTGGGTTTTGCAGATTCGGTGCTGCACATGTTACTGCTATTTACCGTACGGATGGTTTGACTCAATTATAAGTAATGAAACTTTATTATCACTTGTGAAGCCCTTTATAGGTAAAAGTTAAAACATGATGACAGCAATGGCTTGTTGCATCTCTGCTACAGTTCTGTTTAATTTCTGTATCTGATTCACATTGCTTCTTCCATAGAGAATCATAAAGCATCTAGAAGAGATGTAGCAAGGCAGTTTTCCTCATTCTCTAGGGTCTCCAACAAGTGAGCTTGTGTATGTTTGCTTACCTGGCATTTGTGGTTATCTGGCAAGGGCCTATAAGATCTCTTTCTATTCACTGCAGTAATACTGTATAAAACTGCAGATGACAAATTCTTGTTGACCTCAATTATTTCTTGTAAATTCTTGACCTCTGAATTTCACCAAGCTAAGGGTGCACGCTTAACCTACGCTATTTCTTTTTTTTCCCTTTTTTTTTTTTTTTTTCAAATATGGTCAGTATCAGTATATCTGTATTTTAAGGATCAAGTTTTTTTACATTGTTGGAGTAGGAGGTAACTGAGAATTTATAGGACCTAAGTGTTTTAAAATACATTTCAGGCTCAGAAGACGAAACAGAAAAACTCGAAGATACGGCGTTTTGGATACAAACATAGAAAACATGGAGTTGACTCCATTAGAACAAGATGATGAAGATGATGATACAACGCTATTTGATGCCAATCATCCTCGAAGGTTTGTATATAGAAGCTGAATGTACTTCTAGTAACAGAAGTGAAGGAGTGTGGATGAGGAGCAGTTTTACTGAGAAAGCTCACTACTGTGTTCCATATGCATGTAGTTGGAGAAGGGATGTCAAGATCACTTGAATTTTAAACGGGCAAGAATTTAGTGGGCAAGAAGATAAACTTAGTACATCAGCTGCTCTTGATCCACTGCAGAACACCATTTGTCTTCAGCATATGAGTTCCAGAGAAGTGGAGAAGGTAGGATATTTTTGTTATAAATACGGTGTCATTGCTGAAGCTTATCTTCAATTCTGCTGCTAGTATTTACACATCTTCTATTCCTTTTCTTCTTGGAGGCTCCTTAGTTCTTTGTATGCGTTCTCTCCAAGTTCCACTGTCTCTTTGCTAAAGTAATCAGTAGCTAGTTGGTAATGATCCTGCACTAAGTTTTAGATTTGGTATTGCTACAGAGAAAGGTTCGTATTCTTTAGTGACACTCTGAAGCTGGATACAGGAAAAATTTGTTATGTCTTCTTACACTTAAATATCAGGATCTATTTAAAAAAAAAAACCTTGGAAACCTACTTTTTGCAGATGTGAAGATTTTTAACTTTCAAATGTTAAGTTTCTTATGTGTAAATAAGCTATCAAGTTTAAATGTATCCTTCTTCATAAATTATGAACTTTCTTATGTTCACAAACTATTTGAATTAAGACAAGATGCTTTTTAACCCTTGTCAGCTCATCTGGGATTTGGGATTGCAATTCAAACCGAATAAAAGCAAGTTTTCCTGATTGAGTAATTCCATCAGGCTACATATATAGAGATAATAAACCTGACAGCAGAATTGTGAAAATGCTGAGTACTACTATCAGAAGAGATAAAATGATTAATCTTAATTTTGCTGGTCACAGTTGGCAAGTGACTCAACACTTCTTCTTGTGAAAGTGAATTCAACTCTCAAAGAAACAATTCAGCAAGTGCAATGCATGGTGCCCCAAATGAATTAAAAGTAATGGAGTCATAAGTCAGACAGTTTTGCTGTTTATCAAAAAACAACTGTTGGATGGCATTCTGGAACTTGAAGTGAAAGTTCTCTCTTGTATTTGTCTCCTTAGACCCTTCACTCTTATTTGTCTCTTGAATTCAGTGAATATTTGTATGGCCAGAGTTCCATTTTCCTTAGTCTCTCCACTATACATTTAAAAAAAGATGGCTGGAATATTGCCACTTACTTCTGTGTACTGGAGAGACCTGTGTCATTTTTATTACCTTTTGGCAATAGTATTCTTCTAGTATAAATGCTAAAGATCATGTAACGGGTAATTGCCATGGTATATCCAGCAATTCCCGTGTTGTCTTTTCTGGACATCGTTCTCTTAACTTCTCTCTTGTAACACAGCATACTTACTTTGAGGTATTGGACCAGGTAATATAATACTTCCTCCTCCTAAATGCGTAGTTACAGTAGTATCAAGTTTATCCTATGAGTGAGCATGGCAGCATAATTTGTCCTCATTAACATTTAACCCAATTAACAGTATTGTATTCCTGTTATAAAGGTTACTTGATACTCTTATCTGCTGATGTGGAGATTAAACAAGCTTGTATTTGGTATCAAGCTTTAAAGAGGAATATGGCTAGTTATGTTGCTCTTGAGCAGTGTTATCTAAAAGACTATACATTAGCAGGTTAAATAAGTATGTATATGCAGTATGTCTTCTACTGCAATAAGTAGTAAAGCAGTCTGTTTTATGCATTTACGTAGATATTTTAGTTTGTTTTGGCTGCTTTTAACTTTTAGTTTACCTGTTTTGGACGTTTTGGGGAATTATATTAAGCTTTCAGATACTGATGTGATAACTTGTGTCCTGCTACTGCATCTTTTACCTTAGGTTGCTATCTAAACTTAATTCAGATTCTACAGATGCACCTAAAATCTGTAGCTTGAGGCATATTGTGTGTTAAGATAAATAGTCTTGTACTTTTACTACTCTACTATCAGAAGAGCCCCAAGCAGTTGATCATTGCATCTGTTTCTTTTAACTTCCTCTTTTAACTTCTCCTAAACTAGAAGCAGGGGAGACCCTATGGGGAAAGGTCACCAAAATAATATCAGAGGTTTTCAGAAGAGCAAACTTGTTACATATGTTTTTCCCTGTATGCTTCTAAACATTTGTATTTAAGGAGGAAATTTTACTTTAATGAAAGTAATTTATTATAGAAGTATTTAGCATGCATAGTATTGCTGTGTTTGGCATTAGAGATAGATAGGTCATATCACATCATTCATGGTGTCAAGAAAAGCATTTTCCCCTTAAGAAAATTAAAACTCTGAATTGCAAAAGAAAAAAAATGCAGTCATAGTCATGCAGTTGCTTATGTTTAAGCTAAAGCGTGTAAAGCACTTAAGGATAGAAGTATGGTTTGGAGTGAGATGTTTTGTTTTTATTTTATTTTTCCCATTTTGCCACACAAAGATGTCCAGGGGTGGTGCTGGGGTATATATATGCATCGTGAACTGCCCAAAACAGAAAAGTTGTAGAATGCAAAACCAAAATAAATCTGACAGCTTCTAAAATCTAAACAGGACTGCACCAAATATCCTCTCTATTGTGCTTATTCAAGAGAGTAAAGAATATTTTGTTTCCCCTTCAAAATTACCTTGGAAGCTCATTGTCAATGGAGTGACTAGAAGCTGATGCCTGTCTGATAGGTTATCTTATGATTTGCCCTGCTTTCTGTCTCAGTACAGATTTTGTCAAACTGTGTCCTAAATCAGTATTTTTGCCACCATACTTTGTTTTTTTGGTTCTTTATTGAAATTAATTTGCTTTATGTTTAAGAAATTAACTTACATTAAAGCCAACTCTTTACAACAACGAGCAGCAGACTTTGAACTGCACTTGCCCTCACTTGTGATATCCAACAAAATTTTCACATTATGATGTAATTTTATAGTTTGAAAAACCTGTCTTGTTTTCAAAACACTCAGCCTCTCTTTCAATTTAAGTACTACAGGCAATCATAATTTAGTTTAACTGTACCAAACAATGTGGAAATATTTGAAAGGAAATTATCCATCCCGTCTTTGTCAAAATACACTCTTCTAGAATGCATATAATATTAGCAGTTTGAGTACGTTCGCAGTGTTTCTTTTGTCTGGTGATACAGCTACAGTCAGATAAATCGAGCATTTCTTTAAGTTAATGGATACTAAAATGTGTAAATAAAGAACTACATCTTTTTGATGAAAGAGCTTCTTCTAAATATGTTGTATTTGATTTTAAAAACAAAATATATGTGTTTCAGCTGATGAAACAAAACCTGATATATTGGTCTGAGTCAGGGCCCTGAAAAAGTAGGAGGAAAAAAGTGGAATGTAATGTTTGTACATGTCATACCCTGGAGTAAATATATAAACTGATGTAACCTATGACAGAGGCATACCTTTACTTCTCTCTTGCGGGGCTCCAAAAAGTCCCACGATTTTGTGTCAGCTTGCAGAAGAGCTGGTAATGTCAACTTCTGCGTCAAACTCTGCAAGAATGGGAATTGGATCAGAGTACCTAACCACACTTGCTTTCAGCAAATGTTTCTGTTAACTTGTGTAGGAAGGTTGACTGAACAGAACAGAGGATCTTCAGAAGAGAATAACCATAATAGAGGAAAAAATGTTACTGTTTCAGGATAGCTCAAAAAGTGCTTAAGTGATCAAAATCATTATTTTGGTAGTAGCAGCTTGAAAACAAGTACTTCCAGTTACGTTTAGTCAATAAAAAAAAGTGAACACACTAGGCTTATGTATACTGACAGCTTGCTGTGTTCCGCTGTGTAGGGAGAAGCTCTCAATTTTACAGGTTAATTTTTATCTTGAAACAGTGTTTTTGTGTATGAGAAAAACAGTGCTGGGCAATGTCAGTCCTTCCCACAGATATCTGGCTAAACTGTTTCCTGAAATGCTGTCCAAGCGCTACACAGTAATGGCATTGAGAGAAGTTTGAAAACTAGTATCAAGTACTTTAAAAAAAAAAAAAAAACAAAAAACAAAATCATAATTGAATATGTATCTTTCCCCATTAATTTCTTTCCCCTTGTTATGACTAAATCTTTTGAAAATCCGTCCTTTTAGCCATCTGCATTAAAGCTCAATAATCTGTCTTCATATTTATTACCCAGCCAGAATGACCAAAGGGAGTACAAAATGCATAAGGAATCAGACACACTGAGGACAACTTGATGATAATGATACTCAGTCTTGGTAGACATCATTAAACTCTGTCCTGATGTTTGCAAAGATTCAGAGCTTTTTTTTTTTTTTTTTAAGGTAGCATAAATATGCAGTCAGGCTTAGAGCAACTAATCGGAGAAATAGCAAGAGGGTACTTGGTTATTGAGTTCAGTCCCTTGTTGTCATAGCCGACCAGTGTTAAGCTCAGTGAGTGAGCTTATTCAGTTCATAAGTTTGCTGCCCTCATTACTCATAATGGAAGAGGTTTCAAAAACTAACCACCAGTCAAAGAAAATTAGGCTTCTGACGTATATGTTCTGGTCAGTTTATACAAATTTGTTACACATAGCAAATTATATAAGCATTGTTATATATACTAATAGCTGTCTGTTTTTTTTTTTTTTAATTTTCTCCTTCTTTCTTTATGACCTGGGTATGTACTGCAGTAGTATCCACTCTGTTTTTATTTTTCCTGACCAAACCAAGATCTTTGTTTAAGGTGATAATTTAAGGTGATAACTGGTCTAAGGGGGCTATGTTAGAGATTTCTGTAGGCTAACTTTGAGTTAGCTGTAAAGTCCATTTGACCCTTTACAAGGCTGGGCAGAGATGCTGGTGGCTTTCCTAAAATCAGTATAGCAGTATCAATATATTCTTGTGCTGGTATGGTTATTACTTCCAGTTTTGTTACTGTTTCTTTCAGAGCTCTATGAAAAATCTCCAGTGTCCCCTTCTGTAATGTAGATGTAAATTAAATGTCCCCTCGTTGTCCTCATCATCCATGTAGCTGTTCTCTGTATTTCTTTTCATGAAATTGTTTTTTGTTCAGTAACATATTACTACATATGAAAGTCTGAAATTCTAATCTTTGGTGTCCCACCATGCAATGTGGCCTATTAGTTGAGGTAGAGTCTCCTAAGATCACATCTTTGTTTTTCAAAGTGGTGTCATACTGAAAATGCGTAGTCCTTGTTAGGTCACTACATGTACTCAGTACTTGCTGTACTGCAAGGCATGAGGTAAAGCATATATTCTGTGCAACTTGGTGTTTATGATAGCATTGCAATTATGTAATCTTACTGAAGTTTGAATAGGAACGCAGGAACTTTGGAAGTTCATTGGACTTTAATCTCTTCATTAATGTTATAGATTGTACATCTTATATATTTAGATTTAAAAATTTTTTTTAAAAATCCATGGGGTTAGAAGTCTAAACTTTTATTTTACTGCACATAACATATCGATTCACTATTTAACCTCTCTGCTTCAAAAATATATCCAACATGGAAACCTTTTTTGAAAGTACTGGCACACGCTCTCTCTCTTAGGAAGAGAGCAGTCTAAATGAATGCTTTTTTGTAACAATTTTTTATGCCTCACTTCATTAATATCATAACTGATTTTACACAGGCGACTTGAATGAACAATAAAATGTTGCACCTCTACTTTTTTTTCTTAAACTTTGGTCTTTAAAAGTGTGTGCTAAAATTTCACTCGAAACAGGGCATTTTCAGATTATTGCCTATGTTTCTTCTGTTGCAGATAAGTACGTGCCTTTCAGTGAAAGAACTTAATCATGAAACCAGAGAAAGAGACTGCTTCATAGGAGGAGTAAGAAGCCAAAACAGCAAGATGGTATGGAAGTTGGGGGAATAATTTAAATTGTGTATATTATGGCATCCTTAATTTGTTGCAATAAATACTGTACCAATTTGTTGTACCTTTTTGTATATATATATAGAATTCTAAATGTAAAGCCTAAGGAGCAAGTGTGCACTAAAATCGAAACCTATTTGGAAGTGAGATTACTTCTAGAACAGGGTATTTTTTGCTTGTTCTAAATCTTGTATGCCATAAGTGTGGTATACACTTTTTCTACAGTAACCTGGAATGTTAACTAACTTTTTGCTCATGTAAAATTGTAAGTAAACATTAAGTAGCATAGCCTCTGTGAACTCTTCGGTATTGTTGGAACTTGATTTTAGTCGAAAAGATGCTTTACCCTTTGCAAACAAAAAGCCAGACTACTGCCTTTTTTGTTAAGCCTTTTTTTAAACTAAATTAACATGTTGTATGTAAACTAAGTGTATAAATAAAAGTGTTTACAATGTTCCTAGCCTTTAGCGTGATACTTCAACGCTTTATAGATATTGAGGATATGACTGATATGATCTTGTTAATCATAGCAATACAGCACGTTTGTGCTGTCAAAATTATTGGTTACAGCCATAAAGTCAATTAAGTTCTGAGGACCGTCTTCAACTGGCATGAGCAGATGTTGCTCCACTGACTCCAGGGCGCTGGAGTTCATGCCCGTGGTGTCAGCGTTCAGTCCTATGGTCAAAGTAGAGATCAAGCCTTCACATGAGCTTGTTTACTCTTATACTCCAATTAAAGCGTAGAACAAATAATACACTTCTGCCATTGCTCTAAAATGAAAAAGTGACATCAAAAACAGATGTTAATGTGAAATGTGTGATAAAATTTACCTTAATGCAGTTGCCATCCAGCAGTTTTTTTTTTTTTTTCTTGTGCAGATGAAATTTTCAAATTCTTTCATTAAAATTATTGCATAGATGTATTCTGTGTATGTGTGTGTATATATATATATTTTTTTTATATATATAGAGAGAGAGTATCAAGGTATAGACTTAACTAGCCGTATTGGTGGGACTGACTGTTTCCTGAAAGTTCCTGGGATATGGAGGAGGGGAATTATCTTCACTGAGTTTTCCATCCTCTCTTACTATTTGTGAACAGAGTAGGAATGCCTTATTTCTCTCAAAGGCTATTTCTGCAGTGACAGATGGAGTCTACTATAAAGACGTTTTTAACCCTAAACCAGCTACTAACCCTGTAGTTACCCTATGCCTTTACACTAAAACATACTCGTTATGCCCTAGTAAAAGTTCAGCTGAGGTCTGAAGTTCTTTCAAATTCAGACGATGCTGAAGTAGCCTCCCAAGGTAACATTCATCTACAGTTTGCTTATGTGCTGCACACTCCTAGGAAATGTATTATCTTTGCAATAAATCCAATACTTTATTTTTACTTCCTCCCCTTTTTTTAAAGAGAGAACTGAAAGAAAAAGACAACTTATTTCAGAGAGGCTGAGCTGAGAAACCTAGAAACGTTATCAAGAAAGCCCATGGCTTAGAATCCAAGTGAGAAAGCAACAAAAAGGTTATATAACAGAAGGGAAAGCATGTTGCTCACTGTCTAAGGGGGACTCTCAGTGTTTTAGCATAAGCATAGGCTTACTTTAGAGTTTTTCTAGCTCGATGACAAACGTTAACCCTAGTAATAAAGGGCTTATCTTTCTGACTTCCTGGAGTTAGTTGCTGTAATCGTGTAGAGTCTTTCTGGGCTTTAAGCTGAATGTGTCCTGGGGAGCTGTTATGCATGCTAATGATAGATACTTGAGCTGTTTGTTATGCATGTAGAAACACTGGAAATGCAGGTGCTCATGCATCTCCCGCAAGCAAATCTAGAGATTTTCCTGGAAAAAAAAATGAAATAGGACAGATTATTTATATTTCAAAGCAAGGCTCACCTAAAGGAGAAAAAAAAAAAAAAAGATTTTCCCCAAAAGTATGCACTTCTTGCATTGGTGCCTCCAAAATTATGCGGATCTATTTTCTAGGATAAGTGGCTAGAAGCAAGTCATCCAACTGGTACTAAGTTGAGACAATTTTGTTCTCTGATATGGCTGATTCTGTGTGGTCCATCATGCAAACTTTCTCAGCATTGTCCAGACCATATCTAATTCAGTAACTGAATTGGCTCTGATTGCTTTTGCAGACGTAAAATCTGTCAAAGATGCTAGTGTTATCCTTCTCATGTTCTTAACCATTGGAAATCTGCTCTGAATTGTTTTCAGTTCCTGTTGATGTATGCAACACCATCAGTGATATTTCCAGCAGTGGCTGAAAAACGGTTCTCATGGTAGCCTGTTGGTTAAATTCTTTCAAAAATGTGGGGCTGTTTTGGGGAGGATCCCAAAGACCAGTAACTAAGCTATATATAAATCAGATTAATATTTATATCAAGCTGTAAAATGATAAATAAAGACAATTAACTGTGAAATGTATAATTGAGTAGCCACATATGGGAAGCTTTATTCTCTTTTGAGTCAATAAGTTAATAGGCCAGTCAAATATGGGATCCAATTTGCTGAAATAATGCTCGTGTCTTTAAAGATGTAAGGTAGCCCAGATTTAATGGGAAGTAAATTGCAGGTAGTAGATTTACTTGATAACTTTCTGGGGACCAAATCTCAGCAAATTAGTTCCATGCACCTAAAGGATAATGGGGTGTGTACCCTCAGAAACTTTGAACTGATTTGGGAGTAAGAATCCCATGGGTCAGTGAGCAGCCAGGAGAGCACTGTAATGTACGTGCTGACTGAAAGCATGCCTGCCTCTCAAGAGGGGGGGCTGGACTGCTTCTTAGGTTTAGCATAGACTGCTGCTTACTATAGACTTCTTGTCATGCTACTGCTGGTGTTAGAAGTTGCTAACTGCTAAAGTGCTGCAGAAGTGACCTAGATCTCTCTAGAGCGCTGTGCTGTGATCTGACTTTTGCTTGATTTCCCTCTTTCGCCATCCGTAATTGCTCAAGGGGTTTGCAATCTGTTCATTTTCCATCTCAAAGCAGTCTGATTTTAAGGCACAGTAAAATGAGAAAATTTCTTAAAGATACTGTCAGGATGGATTGTTAAGTTCAAGATTTGGTTTTATTGGCAGATACAAATAAGTTTCTTAAATCATGGAATCTTTTGAATATGTGTTTTCTTGCTCTCTCTGATGTGATGGAAACAATATTTTTGTAGATGGTATCAGCCAAAAACTTCAGAATAGCAGATGCTTGTGGCAGTGTACTTTGCATATATGGCGAGGACAAAGTCTCAGGTCAAATCCAAAATTTACGCCAAAGATCATTTTGAACTGTTATTTCAACTAAGCATTTTATTTATTGATCTTCTTCTCCAAGTCTCATTCTCTTTAATAGAAACAGATTCATTCAATACAGTTTCAGAAAGCCTATAGCCTAAAGATAATAGAATGAAACAATACAGAGTCACCCAAGATTTTCACCTTTTTTATACAAACACATTTATATATATATACACACATATATGTAAAGTCAGTGTCAGTTCAGTAGCTATCTAGCTGGATCATGCCTTGTACAAAGAATTACTCATTTCTAACCAACAAACTCTGCTGCTTCAACAGTGTTTTTTTTTTTCAAGTTGCTATAGGTCCTTATTAGGAATTTTTATGAAACTCCTAGTTTTAGGCTTTTTAGACTGGCACAGATTTTGCAAGAGTGCTTCATTCAGAAGCCCTTACACCACAAATGTTTTGGAACCTGGAGAGTCCTGAGGGGAAGTGTCATATGTTTGCCCTAATACTCTCTCCAACCTGCTTTGGCCACTGTCTGAGAGAAGATACTTGACTAGGTGGATTCAGACCAAATGCAGCTGTTCTTATTGATTCTCATTAAGAGTCCAAAGGTTCTTGATCTTTCCAAACACAGAAAGCATGATTTGTGATGGCATATGTTAAATCTACTCATCCAAAGAAGAGCAAACATACGTACATTGTTGTGAGGCCTCTGAATACTATTCTTGAACTTTCAAGGATGAAGATTGTTTTCAAGGATGAAGATTGTTTAGGTAAGATGAGGAAAATCTAATTCAAAGCTTAACTCTCCCTTCTAGTAGGCTGGTACTTAATTTTTTTCTTGATGTCTAATCTAAATCTTATTTTTAGTAGTTTTAAGTCTATTAGACTGTAGTGAAAGAGCTTAGTTCCCTTGCAGCTCTGCCATATCTTCTAAATAAAGCACTCTCAGTTCTTTCCTGGTAGTCTTTATGTTGTAGATATGTAATCCATTTCATTCTTTTCTTCTGGAAATGAACCAGCTGGTTCACACACTCCATGAATTGCAGTGTCCAAAAGTGAAGAATGAGACAGCAGTATTGAGAAGTATGTGTGCAATAGCAGTGTACACATGCTGTTAGTATTTCTGCCATCTTTATCTCTGCATAAGATCCCTGGCATTTTTTTATTAAAAGAACTGAAGGGGAGTAAGATGTCTGCACAATTTCTTCTTCCCGTTTGGTAAGCAGCACAAGGTAAAAGGCCTGTGATTTACCCCAAAAGCATTGCAATGAAAGTCTTTAATCAGTGTGCATAAGCAGGGAAAGTATATAACTTTGGAACATTTATTATTTAATATTACTTATTAAATATGTTATTATTATATGTCTTGTATCTGGGGAAGAAACCAAGCCAGGAATGAGCCAGCTTAAATACTGAAAGCAACTTACCTGCATCAGCTCGGTGCTCTATCTGGCTTAATGTGTTTCTTGTCTAAATCAGCTTGTTCAAGTAGCTCCAGTATCTTTGTGATGCATTGCTTTATGCCGTGTAGGGTGAGTTTTCAGACAACAAGTAGTTTCTGAAGAATAAGCAACTATTTTTTTTCTCATGCAGCAACACTTGTTCTTAATTACTTGGGCATCTCGCTTGAGTGCGGTATGCGTGTTTGGTGGGTGTTCCTGCAACAGTTCTCATCTGTCAAAAAAAACCAGGTTGATGTTTGCCTGCAGGCAGAGTTCTTGCCCAGAGAAGTCGGAAGGAGGCAGTCAGAACGCGTAGTTACTGGTAGCTCACTGATTGGAGGCTTAATCATTATTTCACTGATTTGCATTTGGTTCATTTTCTGAATTTTATAACTATAAGAAATAAAATCTTTTTCCTTCCTCCACTACTCCAAATGAAAGGAAAGATGGTAGTCAGCATATTTTCCACTTCCATATGTTCTTTCTGAATAACGGTTTTATTGGTTTGGGGCCTTGGATTTTATAGCAGCATCAGAACCATCCAGCAATAGAAACTAAATATGCAGAAAATAGTGTCTTAATATTAAATAGGAGTAACTAAAAGTATGTTGACACAGCAGGCTGGAGGTCTTGGAGCTTTCTTCAACCCAAGCTAGGAC